TCCCGATTTCAAGTCAATCTTCGAGAAGTATGTGCAGCCCTACACTCTATCCAACAAGTCGTCTATCCGCGGCAAAGGTTCAACATTCTTGACCGTAATCACATTCAAACTCCACTAATCTATACACATATACGCAGGTCACCTTCTTTCTTGGGCATAAACAAGACCGATGCGCAGTACGGTGAGGAGTTGGGCTTTATCCAGCCTTTCTCAGTCAGTTCATTAAGTTGCTTGCGCAGCTCGTCGAGTTCTTTGGGAGACGTTCTGTAAACCGGTCCCTCGGGAATCTTGCTACCGGGCTCGATCTCTATCGAGTGCTTAATCTCTCTTTCGACTACTCCCGCCAGACTTTCCCACATCTGCGAACTTTTCGAACAGTTTCTCAACTTTTGGCAGCGTTGGTATCTCCTCTTTTTTGCCTTCACTTACCGGTCTAACGTATGCTACGAAGACTTGGTCAAGCAAATCGGGTTTGACCACGTGTCTGGCGAACGTGGGGGCACTCGTACAACAAAGGGACAAACCGGACTCAACGCCAGACTCACGAAACAACCGCAATTTCTTTTTGCCTCCCTGAGGGCTGGGCAGCCAACATTCATGCTCGCCCATCTTCACATCTGCTCGCGTGGCTTCTCCCCAACCCGTCCCTAAAATCAGGTCAAAAGGTAGGTTATCCTTCACTAAGAGTGTCAGGGAGTTCAGAACTCTCTCTACCTTAGTCTCCCCCTCCAACCAAAAGTATGCCTTGATCCCTTTGACATAATCTTCAACTCTCATGTCACGATTGTCTGCGAGCCTACTCACTACCGGCTCATCCAACTCTTGAAGCTTCATGTCGAGGTGCATCTTCTTCAACCCCCTTCGCCTAGTGTAACTGCTCGTGGACCCACAATCGGCCTAGGCCGCGCATGGCCGCCTCCGGGGGGGGTTCATAGAACACGCCTACTCGCTCTGTGCTGATCTTTATGTCTGGTAATATAAGTTGCCCTTTGCTCTCCTTCTTTATTTCAGCCCAAGCTTGGCGACGAGTCATCAACTCATCACCTATGCCGGTGAGAGAACCACCCAGAGAGACCCTAGCACAAGCAGTCTCCGGACAGCTAACTGGGTGGAGGGCTACATCAAGCTTTGTCGTTGGGACCTTCAGACATGAGGGTGCCTGGTCAGCGCGCGCTTCTACTTGTCTGTCTATGTCTGAAGGCCCAATCCCTTTCTTATTACTTTTCTTTTGATTAGAATACTTGCTTTTTCGTTTTCTATTGTTTTTAAATAAAATACAAAACGTTGAAATCCAAAAAAGAAAATATGGTTTATAGGGCATTTCAAACCCTACAACCTTTTTTTTTTTCTTTTTTTTCTTTTTTTTTTTAATCTGAGAATTTCTCGGTCGCGCCTGACCGCCTGGGCCATGGCCTGCGGTCGGGTTCCTGAACGCCCGCCGAGTTTGACCCCGCGGTCATAACAGCCGGGGACACATAGATGAAGAGGTCTTGTCAACTCAAGCTTACAATCGGACTTTCTGGAGGCAGGAGAGTGCAACCCAAGCGTGAATGTTTGCGCACTTTCAGTAGGTCGGCGCATGTGCATCCTATACATAGACTTGGCAACTCAGAGCAATGGTGGTGTAATTGACCTAAAGGGTCAAAATGGGTAGGGAATAAGTACATGTTATGCATTCTTAAGACATGTGCAGAGCACTTAGTCTGCTTCGCACATGGAGTGCCTAATTGCACTCCACAGCCATATCTTGTCTCCACTGGAATAAACACTATGCAGCTCAAGGGGCCCCTCCACGGTACCTTCATGCCAATTACACATGTTCCTTCGTGCCCATTACACATATTTTATCATGGCGATTACATGTGTTCCTTCATCCCGATTACACGCATTCCTTTGTGCCAATTACAAGTGTACCTTTGGGAAGTTGGGATAAAAACATGAGCGACTCCTAGGATATGAACACGTAACCGAAGGCACATCAATGTGGATGTACTCGTTCATGCCGATTACAAGTGTCCTTTTGGGAGAAAAACATGAGCGACTCCTAGGATGTGAACACGTAACCGAAGGCACATCAATGTGGATGTACTCGTTCATGCCGATTAGAAGTGCCCTTTTGGGAGAAAGACATGAGCGACTCCTAGGATATGAATATGTAACCGAAGGCACATCAATGTGGATGTACTGATCGCTTGGCACCTATGCGCTTCGCATCTTCGCAGAGGAACATGTACGTACTATAAGGGGGCTGACAATGGCCCTTTGAACAACGTTTTATTGCCCCCCATCCCCCCAACCTTCCCCCGCTTTTCGCCCCAAGGTAACCTATTTTCACTTGTTTAAGAAAGGAACTAAGTTCAAATAACCTCTTTTTCCTTCAAATTGTCATCGGGCCAGTAGAAGGTGATGACCCACATGAACATGTGCACCCACCGCTCAGCCTCTCGCTGGAATAGGCTTCTCCTTTCACAACGGGCAAACGATACTATTGGTGGGCAATCTGATGACACTGCAGGGGCCAAGATGCAATGAAACATAATTATCGTACTTCTGTAGTAATGTCATAAGTTCATAACTGAACAAGTCCGAGTCTTTTACAGTGCTATGTTGTATATGAGAAAGGTTGGATTCTTTGTGTATAGACCTTATCCTTATTCTCTTTTGACTTGCATGATGTGGAAGTACAATAAGAGGAAGGAGAGACATGTGTCATTTGCTTAAACAATTAAAATGACAATTGAATTTTCCTTCTACGTTAGTTTTGAGTCTTTTGACTTTTGTATGCCTTGAGTCCATGGACTATAGGGCCTCGTAAGACCCTCCTTGGAAATCCAATTTTTAGGAAATCGGTGTAGCTACACCGCATCCTAATTCGCCAAATAAAACGCTCCGGAGAGATTTCCTTGGGTTCCTCGATATCCCCTGGCAAAACGTCATTGGATTCATGGGGTCCTCGCAAGGTCCCTTGGGTTAAAGGAGTCGTGATTAACAGAGTGTTATGGATCGAGCACCCAGAGGAGAAATTGGAGTCGATGTTGGTGCACAGGTCGTCCGTGGTCCATTGGGCGGACATCGCTGGCCTCCACTACCCGACGGGCCGCCAACGGCCTTCCACCGTTACCGTTGGTGCGAAAATGCATGGGGTTGGTTCTCCAGCTGCAAGGCGCTTCACGGAGCGGGGTTTTCCGTGCACGCGTCGCTGGCCGTGGTGTCCAACAATCGACTTTTTCAATTTTTGTACAAGCTATGAAATTGCACTACTGGCCGATTGCAGTCATCTGCGTTGCGTGTTTTGTCGCCTACTGTCGGGTGCATCGATGCAAGCTTTGTTTGCTACACGCCTTGCATGCTGCGATTCATGGAAGACGTCCTCCGACGGTTCCCACTCCTGCTGCTGGCCACTCTTCTCCTGCTCGTTGTCAAGTGCGTCGTTGTGCGGGGTCCTCGCAGCAGACGGAAACGACGAACGTCAAGGACGACGGGTCCGGCAGCCGAGAAGGGTGGGAAACAATGCGAAACATCCGTCCTGGAGAGGCGGTTAACTAGTGGTTAATGGAAGGCCAAAAATTCGGGGGGTTTCGCCACGTCGCTACAAGCAATGTTGTCGAAACTTTTGCGAACAAACTATGCAGGGTCATAATACAAACATAAAAAAAAACAATCAGGCAAAAAAAAAACGAAAAAATCAAACTCAAGACCACTATAAATCAGAGTTGGCAACTGGGATTTTTTGGAATACCTGCACCTTACCTACCCATACCCTCCTTGAAAACTAACCACCCATACCCACTGTATAGATGGCCTACCGGACCTTTACCCATCCTTATCTGCTCAAGAAAAAAAAAATTGTACCTGTACCTGCCCTACCTGAACCCCTTCAGACTGTAACTGCCCATAACTGCCCGTGGACTTTCTATTTCAAAACTACCCATGGCCACCTACACCTAGACCTTTTGTTAACCACCTGTACCGTACCCAACCAATTTTTGTTTTCACCCCTACCCACCCGTCCCCACCCACAATTGTATGCACCCACCCATAACCATCCACATTTGTGACCCACCCTCCCCTAACCACCCCAAATTGTCCCCAACTACCCCTAAGTGCTCGTATATGTCCCCAACCACCCCTAACCGCCACCCCTATCCGCCCCTAACCATCCGCATTTGTGACCCACCCTCCCCTAACTGTCCCGAACCGCCCCTAA